TTAGGTGCTATTTATAGAAAATGAAGGGGTGCGTACGAAGGGAGGCGACTCTTCATATGGGTGGTTACACCCCAACCAACACATTGGTTCATGTTTGAAATAATGAATAATTGCATCGGTTCGGCCCATGGTAGTTGGACCGGTTTGGTTATTCCAACCACCACATCGATTTGGTTCAACTCGGTTTGGTTTGGTCCGTTTGGTACACAAACCAATTTAACCGATTAACCACATATTACATCAAATCGATCGAATTCGAGGCCGTGCCTTCCCACATCTTACCAACATGGTACTTCAAGAGACTCTTTTGAAACTTTCCCTTTTTATTTCCATTCACACCACTAAAAATCCCAACAAAATCATGTATTATATCAATTATTGTATACCATATTACTCGACAAATTTTTCCCGACCAATGTGCCGAGCCCTGTACTAGTTAATATCAAGAAGATAAAAGCGGATTGAAAAAGATAGGCAAAAAATATATTCTCGCCACCGGGCCATATTGGGCCCGAGCGACCTTAATAAATGTTGAGATGAAAAAGGCCACGTGTGTTTCCAAGCAGTTCTTAACCGGGGGAGCAAATTCGGCGTCAACCTAGATTAGATAGACTACCAACACTCGGTAAATGTGAGGGTTGCTAGACCGGGACTCAATCGCGCTACCAGGTCCGTCTATTCCAAAATGGAGACGACAACCCGGCAGGACCCGAAAGCGGAATCGACCCGTCCAGATGAACCAGAGTTCGATCTCTACACCATTCCCAGCTACTCCAGTAAGTTCCCGCCCTCGCCCTCGCCCTCTTTTCGCGGCCCCGCTGTTTGCTTTCCTAGAAGAACCAATTTATCGCTCGCTCGCTCGCTCGCTCAATTTTCTCTTTTCCCATCCCTTCTGTACTGTTTCTCTTTGAGGTTGGTTTCGATGGAACGACATCCACGAGACGGAGAGAGCCGCAATGAGAGAGTTCTTCGATGGAAGCTCGGTCACCAGGAGTCCCAAAATCTACAAGGAGTACCGCGATTTCATGATCAACAGGTACCGCGAGGATCCATCCACCAGGCTCACCTTCACGGAGGTTCGCAAGTCCCTCGTCGGCGACGTCAGCCTGCTCAATAAGGTCTTCCAGTTCTTGAACCAGTGGGGATTGATCAACTTCGGTGCGGATTCGGCTCGAATTGAGTCGGAGAACGAGTACAAGGACGAAGTTAGGGTTGAGGATGGCCCTCCCAACGGCATTCGTGTTGTTGCTGACCCTAATTCGTCGAAACCGTTCCCAGCATCGCACGCCGGGGCCCCTCTTGGCGCTGATGTCCGCCGCTCGAAGCTGTCGCCATTGGCGTCCTACTCTGACGTTTTTGGTGAGTTGGGTAAGCGCAAGGGAATTTTGTGTGGGAGTTGCGGTGGAAATTGTGAGTCCGGCCGATATCAGCACGATAAGGTACTTTGGGCTTTGGTAATCTTTCGAAATGTAGCTCCATCACGGGGTAGTGTTTGAAATTCCATTTCATTTAATGTCCATTACTTACATGCAGTTGAATTTGCCTCCTGCTTTCTGCTCTTCTTGAATGCTTTGCTTGAGTGGAACGTCTGATCAATAAATAGCATAGACCTGTGGTTTGAAGTGTTCGGCTTTCAGTACTTTTAAACTCCGTGATGGAGAGCATCTTATTTATTTGAATTGTTTGCAGGATAGCTATGTTCTCTGTGTCAAATGCTTCAAAGATGGAAAGTATGGAAACAAGTCTGTTGATGATTTCAAGCTTCATGGCAGCAGTGTCAGTGACGGTAAGCAAAGGGATGCCTGGACAGAGGCTGAGACTTTACTTCTCTTAGAGTCTGTTTCGAGGCACGGAGATGACTGGGACATAGTCGCTCAAACTGTGAAATCCAAGACTAAACTGGAATGTATTTCCAAGCTTATTGAGCTACCTTTTGGAGAGTTTATTTCAAGTTACAATCTTGGAAAGGACCCTGCCAGTGGACTAAGCGGTAATGGAGACGGTGGAAAAGATGTCTTTCCATCTCTACCAGAGCAACAAGATATGATCAAATCTGAAAATGTAATGTCCCAGCAGGCTAATGGTAATGAGCAGAGAGGAGATGATGCTGACAAAGTCCCCCCTCTGAAGAAACAGTGTGTTTCTTATTCTTCAGGATCTGGAATCTCCATCATGAGACAGGTATGTTATACAGATCAATACTTAAATTTAACAATCAAATGAATAATTTACCAGCTTTTCATCATGGTGCTAGGAAACTGTTTTGGGCATCATGTTTGTTGCTACTATCTAGCTTTTGACTAGCTGGCAAAAATTCAGGAAATCGTTCATCTATACAGTACAACTTTTGAATTTTCCTTTATTTCGAGATTGATATCTTGATCTTAAAATGGTTTCTTGCTCTAATGAGTCAATATCTTTTGGAAATTAGTTTCACATGCTGATAGCTACACCTATGCATTCCAAAGTGGAGTGCACCTATCTCTCTACATAGGTATTACGTAACCAGATGATTCTTTCGGACATTGTGGTGAAAGAATGCTTCTGTGAAATGATATTTTGATGGAACACGGTCTGTGGAACATTTTGTGCTCCATCTTGATGCAAGGGTATTGGTTATGTCTTCTTGTGAAGTGTATCTGGAAAAGCTTGATTGGCAAAAATTTCTATTAGGGGAACAATGTGGTTTAGAGCCTATCGGAGGATTATGGCATGATTAAATAGATGAGTCCTGTCTTATGACACTGGTGTTTAATACATTTGTGGGTCTGAATAATATGTTGCTAGCCTGCACGTTCCAATTTCTTTAAATCATATCAGATTCATATGCTGTATTGTTCCTATATCAGCCTTGATGTTGACAAATGCTTTTAATTAGATCGCTCGCATCTCAAGCATGGTCGGGGATGACATCACTGCCACTGCAGCTAAGGCTGCTTTTGCAGCACTTTGTGATGAAGCCTCTTGTCCAAGTGACTCATTCAATAATGAGGAAGACTTTGCTAATGAATTGTGGCCTGCCATGGACCAGTCTGTGTCAGAGAGGTGGCTTATTTGTGCTGAATACAATTACGCATGCTTGGACTGATTGTGTTGCTTGTTTACTCTAGCAACATTTTGAAGTTTTTTCCTCAATTTCTTTGTTTTAGGGCGCATAAGGATGAAGATATAGAGCAGGGAGGGGATGTACAATCAGGTAAATTGGGAGTTAACTTCAAACTCTCAGATTGTTGTGCTGGGTGATATTTACTATAACATGTGAATTATACATATTGTCTTCTGTTGATACTTTTGATGTATTTGAGTGCATTTGAAATTACACATGCAATCTGAAATACATCAAAATGATGTAATCGGAAATAGTTGGAGTAGGAAGTATATGTACAAAAGTAAGTCCAACATGTTACTTCCCTCAGTTTTCCGGGACAAGTTCCTGCATGAATATAGCAAACCAAACAACGTTTTGCAAATGCATATTATATGGTAGAATGTAATAAAGACAAATAACATCAACTGACAAATATACGGATTTTAGCACAACCATGGATCTGACAAGGGGAAGGATCTGGTTTTGTCAATGTTATCACACCCGTTTCACTGTCTACATTTTTGCTTGCGGTTTTGGATTCTCCATTCTCTTGTTAAAAGCCTGTTTAGGCAAATGCTTGACCTTGTCAATTCCGATGTTTTCCTAATGTGCTGGTATATTCCTCAGAAGATCGGGAGACAAACTTATCCCAGAATAATGTACCGTTAACTTTGAGGCTTCGAGCTACAGTTGCAGCTGCACTTGGGGCAGCTTCTGCTCATGCCAAATTATTGGCCAATGAGGAAGACCGGGAGATTGAAACTTTAGTTGGAACCATCATTGAGACACAGGTACTGCAAGGGGGAGACCTTATCCTGTATCCATTTTTTTCCTACTTTTCATTAAAAGCTTCTAATCTGCCCGTTTTCACTGAATCTTGAATATTAGTTGAAGAAACTGCAGTGTAAGACGATGGATTTGGATGAATTGGAGGTGATTATGGAGAAAGAATATGGAGAACTAGAAGAACTGAAGCGATCTTTAGCTGAGCAGCGAGTTGACATCTTAGCCAGAAGAGTTAGAGCTGGCATATCGAAAGCGGGATCTTATACGTTTGTGAAAACTCAGAATGCAACCTTGCCCTGATGACCCTGTAGCTGAATCTAAATCTAGAGAAAATTGTGGATAGAGTTGCAGGTCTAGTTGTTGGTTGTTCTATTGTACATCAGGAGATAGCCTGTCGCTTGGTTCTGGTAGGAGCCGTCTGTTTGTGCGCTTCTCCCATCTCAGCTGATTGTTTCATTTCTTGTATTCCCCAGTGGTAGAGGACTTGTAGTCGTTTAGCTTCTGGGGCAGGTTGTATGAGGTCGTTTAGCATGCTAAATGGGTGATGTTGGTTAGGGGTGTGTAACGGTCCGGATCAAACCGATGCTTGGACCGGGCTGCATCGAACCAAGTATGATATGAACTGGTTTTTTGTTTTGTGAATCTTATAAATACTGGAAGAAAAAAAATTGAATATCATTTGAATCTAAAGGTCCTATTGGCGCCGACGGCTTTTGATCGTAGTTCAGATAATGTTTCAGGAGGAAGGGCAAGCACAACACAACAAAGGGATTTTTCCACTTACTCGGCTGGCGGTCCTTTATCCGATCCATTGGAGATCAAAGCTCACCGGCACGGGCAGATGCAATCTTAGACCATTTCTGTAGTAAAAAATTGTTCGGAAAAGGGAAAAGGAGACGATAGATGTTAATTATTTCTCAGATGGTGCGTGGGGAAGAAGCTCGGAAACAATACGTGCAGAAGCAACCAAACAAGAACTATATGAATAAGCAGCAAACCAAATTGTCAAAAAGAACCAATTCGAACTTGGATTAAACAACAGAACTTGTCGTAGTACTACATGTTCAATGACAACTAACGAACACAAGATGCCTCTACGAAACTTCATTAATTATGCTCAGCATTTTTAGTATTTCGTTCTTCCATCACCCTCAGTGATCACATCTTTGAATGAACCGCCACTCGGAATCATGGGCAGAACATGCTCCTGATGAGGCACAATCACATCCAACAAGTAAGGTCCCGGTGTGTCCAGCATTTTTTGTATTGCCGCTCTGAGATCTGCAATTCTTGTTACCCGAGATGCTGGAATTCCGCAAGCTTCAGCAAACTTCAACATGTTGGGGAATATCTCGGATTCCCTCGACGGGTCACCTAGATATGTATGAGCTCTGTTAGCTTTATAGAACCGATCTTCCCACTGTACAACCATACCCAGGTGCTGATTGTTCAGAAGCATGATCTTCACTGGCAAATTCTCCACTCGAATTGTAGCCAACTCTTGCACATTCATTATAAAGCTTCCGTCACCATCAATATCCACGACAACAGCCCCTGGATTGGCAACAGCAGCACCCATAGCAGCAGGCAAACCGAAACCCATCGCTCCAAGTCCAGCAGAAGTCAACCACTGCCGTGGTTTCTTGTACTTGTAGTGCTGAGCAGCCCACATCTGATGCTGACCAACCCCTGTGCTAATTATTGCTTCCCCATTAGTTAATTCATCCAGAACCTGGATGGCATGCTGCGGTGGAATCGCTTCTCCAAATGTCTTGTATGTCAATGGATACTTCATTTTCTGTTCATTCAACTCCTCTCTCCAGGCCTTGAAATCCAGCTTACTCTTAGAGTCCTTGCTTTCCAAGAGCTCATTAATACCCTGCAATGCCAACTTCACATCTCCACACACCGACGCGTGAGGCTGCTTATTCTTACCAATCTCAGCTGGATCGATATCAATGTGAACAATCTTGGCTCTGCTTGCAAAAGCTTCGAGTTTCCCTGTCACGCGATCATCAAACCTCACTCCAAAAGCAAGCAGCAAATCACTGTGTTCCACCGCATAATTTGCATAGACAGTTCCATGCATCCCAAGCATTGACAATGACAGCTCATCCGATACAGGGAAAGCTCCAAGCCCCATTAAAGTGCTGGCCACAGGAATCCCAGTTAGCTCAACGAACTTGCTCAACTCTTGGCTCGAATTCAAACACCCTCCTCCCACGTACAACACAGGCTTCTTGGACTCTGAAATGAACCTAGTAATGACCTCCAAATTCGACTGGCAAGGCGGCTTAGGCAACCTAGCCAAGTAACCAGGCAACTTCATCTCACACTCCCAGTCAGGAACAGCTAGCTGCTGCTGAATATCCTTAGGAATGTCAATCAAAACAGGGCCAGGGCGGCCAGAAGTAGCCAAATGGAACGCCTCTTTCACAACCCTAGGAATGTCATCCACATCGAGAACCAGATAATTGTGCTTGGTAATGGATCGAGTTACCTCAACAATCGGAGTCTCCTGAAATGCGTCGGTTCCAATCATGCGGCGCGGCACCTGGCCGGTAATGGCGACGAGTGGGACACTGTCGAGGAGCGCGTCGGCGAGGCCGCTGACGAGATTGGTGGCCCCGGGGCCGGAGGTGGCGATGCAGACGCCAGGCTTGCCGGAGGAACGAGCGTAGCCTTCGGCGGCGAAAACTCCGCCTTGCTCGTGGCGGGGAAGGACGTTTCGGATGGTTCTGGAGCGAGTGAGAGCCTGGTGGATCTCCATGGAAGCACCGCCCGGGTAGGCGAACACATCGGTGACTCCCTCGCGCTCGAGAGCTTCCACGAGGATGTCGGCACCCTTCCGGGGCTCGTCGGGGGAAAATCTAGGGATCGAAAGCGAAGGATCTATGGTGGTGACGGAGGGAGAAGCCGCAGCGGTGGATTTCGAGTTGGTGGAGCAGGAGATTTGGAGTGATTGGCGAGGAGATGGACGGAGGGGAAAAGAGAATGACGGGCGGAGGATGGAGAGAGGAGATCTGGTGGTGGAGGAAGCAGTGGAGAAGGCGGAGGAGGGATTGGGGATTGCGGCGGAGGAGGCGGCGGCGGCCATTGTTGACATGCAGAAGATGGGTACCAATGCTAATGCCTAATGGATGTTTGCAGGAAGGAAGAGGGAAGGCGGCGGGGCGAAGGATGGAAGATGGGTTAATGAGTTCGAAGAAGACATAAAGAAAGAAGGATAAGGACTGGAATGACTAAAAAGGGCTTAGGTTTGTGTTTATGTAGGAGGGTAGGGATGTAAAGATAAACGAGGTGCGGACAGGATTCCTCCACAGCTACGGTCGCTGTCGTTGGCCGTTGGCAAACAGTGAGAATGCAGTGAGTGGTAGTGACTACATATTAGTGAGGGGCTAAATTACATCACGCAAATTACGGAAATTGGTAATATATAAATTCGATCGGCCTGACCGGTGAAATCGCCACCTGCATAAAATCGGCTTGAAATAGTTTAAAAGTCGCTTCGGTTTTATGTAGCAGTTGGCGAGCGATCGAGGCGGTTAACTGCTCGAGCCGCTCGTCCGGTTTTTGCCATTCAGCCGTTAAATTTAATTAAAAAAATTGCAGAACATTGAAAATTGAAATAAACAAAAAACGTCGGCCTCTCAAACTGAATCCTTATTTCCATTTCACAATTTCGAAGGAAAGAGACAAGCTCTGATTAAGAAATGTCCACTATTTATACTGATAACGTTTATTAGGTACTGGTTCTCTAACGGGTTTTAAACGGTCTAATGCCGGTTGGAGCACTAAAATGCCAGCCGTTCGCATTACCGGGTCATGCTCCGATTCGGTTCTGAAACATTAATCTGGCCCTATTTTTCAAAGAAGATATTTATGACCTACTTTTGAAACTATTAGACAAATTTGGCCCGAAATTTTCTTTGACCGTTAATATTGACGATCAAACACTACTTTGTTATTGACTAGCAAAAAACAACAATGTGGCATGCCACGTCATTAAATAAGATTTTTTTAATTTTTTAATTCAATTAAAATACAAATTAAAAAAAATCTCCACCCTCTCCCACTTATCCTTCGTGCCACCCACTATTTTCCTTATTTCCCCCTATTTTCTCTCCACCATTTTCACTGCCCAATTTCTCTTCTTCTCCTTTCCCAAACCAAAATCCAACCCAGAACATAACGACTGGGTTTTCCTTGAAACTAATCTCACTTTTATTCGAACCTAAGTTTCCTCTATTCAAATCCCAGAAACCATAACAAAAACTCCACTTAACAACAGAGCAAATCTGGTCTATTTCAGGACAAAAAAATGTTGTCTGTTTCCCCTTCTAGTTACCATTAGGGCATCCAATCCTGTGTGGAGTCCGCCAGGTTGGTCGACAAACCCCCAATAAGAATGCTGGTGGGTTTAGCTTCCGACAATGCATGGCCACGAAAGAAACCATAGAAATTAACAGAGACCAAGAAGCATTTACTTTGGCCCCAAGTAGTAGCAACAACAACAACGTAATGAAGTGCTATGCCTCCTCGTTCAGCAAAACAAAGTCTCGAAATGTGCACTGAGAGCCTGGTCAGCGAGACCGGAAGCGAAGACCGCGACAGCGATGGCGATGAGTTGTTGTTGCTGCCGTCGCCACTCTCTACTGCGTTGGCCGCAGATAGCTGGAGCTGAGTAGAGTAAGAGGATTTGGGGGAGACTAGTGTTAGTATTAATAGCAGAGCAGCAGCGAGGCAGAGAGTGAGAAATATGAGGAGAAGTAGGAGAGGAAGCTTAACATTGCCGCCTCCCATGTCTTCAATTGGGGGATCCATCGGAGTCCAAATGCGGTCTCGTCGGGAAGATGACAGGCTTGTGGTTAACCATGGTTGGAGGGATTCCTCCAGACGAGCATTCTTCAAGTGCCGCCATTGAATTCCTCCTTCATGTTGTAACGATGATGTTGATTTAGGTTAGAGTTTGGATTTTGGGTTTTAGGGGATTTGGGATAATAAGAATGGGATTTTCTTAATTTTTTAACTTTTATTTTAATTAACTACAAAATTAACTTAATTTGTTAATATTATTGCCACATCAACTATTTTTTGATAAGTTACTAACGGAATAGTGTTTGATCGTTAATATTAACGGTTAAAGAAATTTTTGGGCAAAAATTGTCCAATAGTTTCAAAAGTATGCCATATATGTCTTATTTGAAAAATGAGGCCATAACTATCACTTAAGCAAAACTTCGGGCCAAACTAGGGTATTTGCCCTAAATCTTTCACGTTTCCTACTCGAATCATTTATCTTTCTTATTTGTCACTAATTTTATGAATCGTTTCATCATTAGTCATCGGTCGTCAGTCTCCGTTAGTTTTTTAATGAGGTGAAAAGCGGTAGACTCGACCATGACTGTCTAAAAATAAAAAATAAAAAAAATAATTAATTAACCACCGCAGACTCGCCACTGCAAACTCATCACTGCCAGCAAACTCTTCCCTTGCTTCACTGCCGCCGGTCGCCCCGAAAAGCCAACAGCTTTATCATCACCTTCTGACACACACACACCCATAACCTCGTTCCCCTCTCCCCCACCACGTAATAAGCAAGGACTAAACTCCACATTCAAATTGATGCCAATCCCACAGTTTATGCAAAGACAAATCTGTTTCTGATTCTACTTCAGGACCCGCCAACGAGCTGACGACCACCGGGGATTCGAGAGCCCGAGCTCCTCCAACGCTCTCGCTTCCCCTCGCTTGCGCTTATTCCTATAACGCCGTTTGAGGTGAGATAGTCCGTCTTCTTTGACAAACGACCGAACGATTACGATTTCGGTTTCCCTGGAGAGTTTTTCAGAGTTGAGCACACTAATCACTTTCCTTATCGACGATCGATTTGCCTCGTTCGGATGGCATTACCACTGCCCCACAATCATCAATTGCTCCGCCTGATACCGATCGAACTTCTCATCGCCGACTGCCAGCCTCAAGTCCACCGCTTCAAGAATATGATCGTTTTCGTACAAACCCCAAACCAATTCCATTAGCATAACTTTCCTCAAGTCCACCGCTTCACAAATTGGGCTCCCAGCCTCCTCCCGCACGCTATTTCCATGAGCCACCACTCCTAAGCTATAGACGTCTGATTCATTGTCGTTATATGCTTTTATTGACGCCCAAAAAAAGAATGGTGGGAATAATTTTTTTTTTTTATGAACCGTCTCCATTGTGAGAAACGTTTCGTCAGAAATTATATTATTTGTGAGGCATAGCTTGCTCCATCAGAAAAACTACAAATTTTTTGAGCATCAATTACTTGTCGTCGAAAAAATTTGGTCGTAATAAATTTAAATTGCAATGCATCAACGGAATCGTTATAATTACCACAATATTTTTTACGAGAAATATACATTTGTTGGAGATAATGTATTAGATATAAGTTTTTATGACCAAACTATTGGTCTTCTGAAATAACATTTTAGCGGTGAGCTTTTCTGACGAAAACCATAATTCTGTTGGAAACAATGTAAAATGCCGGGTGAGATTTTTTATCTTTCATTTAAACTTCAGTTTACTATTTTCTTCCTTCATGGATCCGCTCTGGAGGTTGCATGCCTAAGTCGTTAACTGCCATTCTGGATTCCCCTTTGTGAAGCAACCATTTTGTCGTCGCTTTCTTTTCGTGAGTGAAATCAGAATTGGAGATTGGGTAATTTCTGATCTTGAAAAATTATACGGAATAGAAAAAAAAATTGTTACAATCGGATAACCGAGCATAAAGTTTACAATAAACGCAGCCCACTATGGCAGTTTACAAAAGGTTCGCAAGGCAGGAGGATCTAGATAAGCCCTTAGTGACCCCACCCCATGAGAATTTTGAAAATACGTACCATTTTTATAGCTTAGGAAAATTACGTATAAAGTAAAGGTTCATGTTAAATATTCTTATTAGTAATAAAATAACACAAAATATGAAGGTACCTCAGCGAAAAATGTTATTATTTCATTCCAACAGGTCCATGTTTTATTTAGGTGAAAGATTGAAAAGTAATCATTTATTTGTTTGTTTAACGATTCTAAGAGTTAATATTTTTGTATCGCCCAAACTTTTTCTATATTTAATATCCTGGCCAATGCTTTTGGTATTTAACACCATGGCCCAAACTAACCCTACACTTTATTAATTTGGGCAAATCCGAGAGTTGACCGTTAGTTTTGAGAGAACTTAAAAATAAATTAACTTAGAAAAATTTTAAATTCCAAATAATCTTACAAAACTATAATTAAATTTCAAATTAAAATTTTGAAAACATTTTCAGAAACATAAATTAAAACAAAATTTGGAAAAACAAAATTTAGAAACAAAAAGTGAAAATTATCATAGTTAAATTAAAAAAATTAAAAAACATAAAATTAAAACAAAATTGGAAAAAAAATTGAATTTTTTTTAGAAATTATCATAATTAAATTAAAAATAAGAAACTTGAAAAAAAAATTTCTACAATTTTAAATTTAATTATAATAATGTTAGGAATTATGTGGAATATAGAGGATATTTAAATTTATTTATGGATTGATTATGGTCAAGCATGAGTATATAGCTGAATATACTGGAAAAAACAAGCAAACCAAAAGATTCTTCGTGTTTATGACACTTCACGTGCAACTTCTTCTTCAGTTACTGTGAGTTATTAAAAAAAATGGATGATCAAGTTAAAAACATCTTTAAGTTTTAGAAATGCATAATAATATAGAAGAATGACATCTTGCGAGAAACATTTGAAACAAAGATCACTACAATTTACTTTCAAGAAAGGCTTTAATAATGACAATCACAAAGTAAAATGGCGGGATCAATTTTTATATTATTCCAACATTTTTTCTATTTTCGTTTCTCATCTTTCAAGTTATCGTGCTATATATATCTTTTGATGCTCAAACTAGACAATGAATTAGAATAGGTTAATGCCAAAGAACTCTACCATATTCTTGAACTAAGATAATATCACGTTATACATTTATATATTGGATTTGATATATTTTGAACTAATGTGAATTAACTAGTACTAAACACACCCTGAACCAACCAATAACATTAGATAGAGGGAAAAGTTCATAACCTTATTGATAGCAGGAGGACTCTTGTCCTAGTAAAGAGTAGTCATCAAGATGAACAGTGCTTGTAGATGGTTCATGCTAAGATTCCATTGAGCCGCCATCAAAAAAAGAATAAAAACCTTTTTTTAAAATATAAAGTG